TGTCCCCTAATAACTGACAGCCCATAAACTAATGCACTGTCTTTATAATTCACTGGCCCTCCAGCAGAACTGTTCCCCCCCCACCTTTTTTTTTGTTAGTCATTACCTGAGGATATTTTTCCATTTATTTTTTTGAGAGAGTGGAAGGGAAGATGAGAGACAAAAGAGACAAAGAAAGAGAAACATCGATGTGAGAGAGACACATTGATTGGTTGCCTACTGCAGGCAATCTAACCACGACCTGGGGATCAAGCTGCAACAGAGGTACAAGGTACGTGCCCTTGACTGGAATCCAACCTGCTGTGGGCCGATACTCTATTCTTTGAGCCAAATCAGCTAGAACAGAATCGTGTCTTTGTAAGAGGCCTGTCAGAGTCAAGTAAGGCTAGGCACTTCCCTGCGGTTCTATAAGGTCTTCTGATATGGAACCCCTTGTTAGGAGTTGAGCAAGTTGAGGGCAGGACCTTGTTTTGATCACCTTTGTTAGCTGCAGTGACTTGCAGTACCTGGAATTGTGGTAAATTCTTCATAAATGTTTGTTTGATTAACAGGAAATATTATTGTTTGCTCTGGCTCTCTAAGATAGGAAATTGGAATCATATATTTTAGAAACATTTTCAAGAGCAAATATTGAAACAAGAAAAATATTTTCTCATTAGCTTTGGTTGATTAGGAAATCCAAATACCTAAAGTGCTATAAGAAAAGTTCTTAGCTTACTAGGCATCAATTTATAGGAGGAACAAAGGGGAGTCCGTTGTGAGTTAGAACAGATGGACAGGCTCCAGCACCTAACTGCTGCTGGAGCATTTGCAATGCTCTTCCTATGGGAAGTACCTGGTGCCAGCTCCATATAACCATCTTTCAAGCCAACTCTTGGAACACAGGCTACAAGTAGGGATGATATAATATTACCCTTAATTTGGAGCATATTCTGTGGTTTGTGACTCCTTCCAGTAACTCAAAGTTGTTAAGGAGCCCATTCTCTTAGCTGTAAAAGGAGTTTGTCATCTAATAATAACTAATATTTACCCAATCTTCACAATGTGACAGTTTTTCTTCTTGGAACTCTACGTGGATTAGTTTATTGTACCCTAAGCACAACCTTATGAGTTAGAAATTATTATCTTTATTTTTACAGAAAACAGAGGCTGGCAGAAATTGAAATTCTAGGGAATAGTGGAGCTGGTATTAGAACCAAGGCCTGCCTCATGGTCTCTCTCAGAACACAAAGACTAGTTTTCCTTTCAACGTGATGGGGAAACCCTAGCTGGTTTGGCTCAGTGGATAGAGCATTAGCCCTCAGACTGAAGGATCCTGGGTTGGATTCTGGTCAAGGGCACGTGCCGTGGCTGCAGGCTCAATACCTGGTCGTGGCTGTGGTGTGTGAATGAGGCAACCAATCAATGTGATTCTCTGTCTCTCCCCTTCCCTTCCAGTGTAAAAAATCAGTCAATGGAAAAATATCTTCTGGTGAGGATTAACAACAACAAAATGAGGAGAAATGGAGGAGTTTGACCCCGCACAAAGTCCATCTGAGTCCATTCACTCATGGGATCAATGTATTATATTAGCACTAAGAACTGACCATTGGAATTGGCAATGGCAAGGCCAGCCTTGACCTTGACAAGAACTACTTTGGAAGAGGGGTGAGCTAGAAGCTTATCTAAGAGTAAAAGGTAGAAATAGATATGAGTGTAGACAATTCTTTTAACGAATTTTGTTGTAAAAGACAGCTGAGAATTGAGAATGGTAGATGAAGAAAGGGGTGGAGTCAAGAAAGGATTTAAAAAAAAAAAAGATAGAGACATAGTAGTATGTCTGTATAGATCTAGAACAGAGGAAAACTGTAATTTAGGTTGGGAGGGGGAAAAGTCACCTGAGATGGCGCAGGATTTGATCTGCAGTGGAGGAGCCGGCCTTAGATGGAATGGAGACGGTTCGTCCACAGTAACAGGGGTGCAGGAAAGTATGTAAACCAAGCAAATGTAGAGTGATTGTTGGGCTGCACTAAGGTCCACTTGAGGTCAGTGGTAACGACTTGAACCAGGAAGCATGCTTAGGTTTCTCCAATTATGTTTATGTGGGTGCTGGCAGAGCAAGAATTAGCCTTTATCAGGGTTATGTTTTTTTTCAAGGAAGTACCGTATTTTTCGGACCATAAGACGCACTGGACCATAAGACGCACCAGTTTTTAGAGAAGGGAAATGAAGAAAAAAAGATTCTGAAACAAATAGTGTCCTAAAATATTTTATGTGCATTAAAACCCAACATCACAGTCATAAACACATGTAATCAACCCTGTAAAGTAAACAGCAGCATTTAGAACCATTTTAGAGCCGGGCAAGCACACACAGACCACACAGAGCCGGGCAAGTAAAAAAACTTTTTTTTTAAAGTATATGTGTAGGCTATATTTGGACCATAAGACGCAGGGACTTTTTCCCCCCACTTCTGGGGGGAAAAAAGTGCGTCTTATGGTCCAAAAAATACGGTAATATGGAGAGAGAGGGGACATAGATTTGAGTATGCATTATCAAGAGAAATGATAATAATGAATCTGGGCAATTTGATTTAACTATATAATGCATAATTCTCCTAAACATTGGCTGATACAACCTATAATAATAAAAGCATAATATGCTAATTAGACTGGACAACGAACGACCTTCTGGACGTCCTTCTGGACGACCTTTTGGATGAAGCCAGGGCTGCAAGCACCGAGGAAGGGGCCATGGCTGCGAGGGCCAAGCCCCTTGCACAAATTTCATGCATTGGGTCTCTAGTTTGATAATAATGCACCTGGAAACTAAGATGCGTATAAGAGGAAGAGATGTCATGAGAAAAGCAAGGAACAGAGAAAAGGTCGTGGGAAAAGTAATTTACTGGAGCTGGTAGGGTCAAGGAGACATTGAATTAAGATAACAGAGAGAATAACCTGGGAAGGTAGGAAGTGGTGGCTGGAGAGTGGAATGCTTGACATTGAGATTTTTAGATGGTGCCGCTATGACAGCAGAGAGCAGAGGCAGTTGGAGGTCAAGGAAGAGAGAGAATGTCGAAGAATTGAGAGACCAGAGTGTGAGAAGAATCCTCTAGGTAGACTAGGCTACAGGAATTTTCATGGGAATTGTATTGGGGAATTGATAGTGACTCAGATGCCAATATCTTCAAGGAATGAAGTAGAATAACCCACGGGTTTATAGGTGGCTGCAGTAAGTAGGGTAATGTGGTCTGTTATTTTCAAGGAGTAAACAGGTTTTGATCTGAGTAAGAAATTGAAAGAAACATTCACAGAAGAGGCTGAGGATATTGGGAATGTTGCTGGTGATGACCCCATGAATGCTTGGGGGCAAATGGCAGGATTCTAGGAGGTGAGAAAGGCAAGAGTGATGTGCACAAACATTCACCCAAGCACGTCCGCTTCTTGGATTTGGGAGCGCAGGCTGTTAGGAGTGGGGAGAAAAAAAAAAGATAGAGCGATAAGCCAGGCAGCTCAAGAATAGCTGCTTCCCCATGAGCAATGCTCTCTGCCCTTCAAGGTCATTTGTAAACAGAAAGCTGACTGTGGAAAAGCCAGAGGTGGCTGAGTGTTTGCACAATTACAGCGCATGGGCAGAGGTTCCGTGCCCTCAGGCTGCGGCAGCTGGTGATCTAATCACGCTGAGATTATAGAAGGCCCCAACAGGCTGCCCAGGCTGTTGACTCCAATTGTCCGTCTCCAGTGACAAGGACAGAAAAGGGAAACCATTTTCCATGTTTGCTTCTACCTCCCTTTTAACTCCTATTGCATCCCCTGCATCCGCGTGGGCGCTCCCTCCGGAGCACATCCCATCCCAAAAGCTCAGGGCCCTCCCAGCTAGAGTAGTCCGTTAGCTCTGGGGGGAAATACATAATACATCCTCCCGGGTTATTCAGGCATCTGACCCAGAGAGGAGATTCCCACAATTGTGTATGCATTACTTTAGTACAACTCCGACTCTCAAACCATAATTTCTGCTTCTGCATTATGTTTTTGAAACCGCTGAGCTCTTTATATAGCAGAAAGAACACTGCTCTGCCCCCCTCAGACACTCAGACAGACAGACAGACAGACCATCACAGTGCTGTGCAGTCATTCTTAAGTTACTTCCCAGGCTACGTTTCCCTGCCTGTGAATGGAGACATTCCCTTCCCTGCTTGCACCAGGTGGTGTCCTAAAGGGACGAAATGTTTGGACCCAACAAGGAATTCAGCTCCATGACCAAGGGGGTTGGGAGCATTTGAAGCCCCTCCCACCTCCCTTGCTATTCAAGCTCTAAAGATCCTGCCTCTCCCCACCGAGAAGCGCAGACCCAACTATCTCCCAAGCACCGGAGCAGGGCAGGCACAATACACAAGAGCAGGAATCATCTTAGAACTGGGTATGCTCTAATTGTTATACATGGGGGTGGGAGAGGACCCCTCCAACCCAGACTTGGGAGGCAGTGCGCGCGCCGTGCCCAGCGTGACGGCCTCGGTCGCCTAGCAACGGGCGGCGGGGATGCGCGGGGCGGCGGGCCGGGTGGGCGCGGAGAGCATCCGCAGTCGCCGCCCGCACCGCGCGCCCTCCGGCCTCCCGGGCTTCACGGGAAACTTTGGGGCTTCTCGGCACTTGGGGCGCCGGCGCGAGGCCCGGCGGGCGCGGCGATGAGCCCCGCCGGCTGAGGCTGAGGCTGAGGCTGAGGATGCGGTCGCGGCGCGCGCTGGGCCGGAGCCGCGGGTCCCACCCCAGGAAAGTTGGCGCGCACCTGCCCGCGGCCGGAGACGCGCGGTCCAGACCGAATTGCGCGCGGACTTCCTTTGGCAATTTCTTCTCCCCCGTGGATCGGGCGTCCCGGAGCCCTGCGTGGCCCCGGGGTTCATGGATTCTGGTCTCTGGGAGAGAAATCGCGCTTTTCTCGGAGACCTGCGTGGTCATGGATGCTTAATCATCGATGGGCGCTGAACGGTTGCAATTCCATGTTTGTGTTTCCTCTCCCTCCAGACAATGATTTTGTGGAAGCCTCTCCCGCCGCGCCTTACAACCCGGAGGAGTTGGGTAAGTCACCCCCCCCACCCCCCCTTTGCCTTTCTTCTCTGATTCTGCACGAAAACCACGCGCTTTTGGGGGGCGCCCAAACGAAATCCTTGGGGATGGGAAGGCAAAGGGAAAAAAGGCCAGGGGACACTTCCTGTCCGCGTGTTCCTTCAGGGCGAGCACTGGCTTTTTCGGGGGGTGTCTGCTCCGGGGTGGTGGGGACAGGGTCCTGTGTGCGGTGGGGGACAGAGGGTGGAGGCCAGGCCCGGGGTGCTAATCCGGGCACCACGCACAGCAAACTTCCTGGCCCGGGGCCTCTGTGAGCATCCGGACTCATCCTGGCTGGAAAGGTTCTGCTTAGCCACACGGCTGGCACGAGAAGGACATCCTGTGGCTGGTCCTTAACCTGCATTTAATGAAGTCCGGGACCCACACCGGCGATCCAGTAATTAAATTCCTGGGCTCTGCATCCCTTCCTGGTTTCTATTCCTCATTTGGCCTGTAGGTGTCTGGAGATTTGTGCGGAGATTTGTGGTGGGTGAATCAGACACTTGTCAGACAAACTTCCTTGTGTGAAGAGAAGGGTATTTGCACTGTCAGGATCCCCCTAAGTATTTCTGCCTCTCAGTCTCACTTAGTGGCTTAGTGGTTGTGATTTTTTTCTTTCTGCTGCTGCTGCTTCTTTTATTCTTTTTTTCTTTTTTCTCACTTTGGTTCAGTTTAGCTGCTCTCAGGCCTGTCCTTGCAGTTCTCTTATCATCCGCTTAAAAATCTTGCCTTCCTACGGTGAATGACTGTTTAAAACTCTCTATCCAGAGCGCCCTTCTCAGCCTTGGGTACTGAGTTTCCCCCTCAGCCTGGGGTCAAGTCCCACATTGCCTGAAGTAAAATTCCATCTCAGCCAAGCCCTGCATTGGTTTCTAGGTCTGCATCTAGGATGGCCCTCTGAGGCAGAGACCGGTACCTTGTTGTATTCAGATGTGTTTCTGGCAAGTTGTGAGGCAATCCCGTCTCTGTAAAGGGAGTCATAAATTAAGCGTGTGAGCAAAATCAGCTTTTAAAGACAAATGATGGTGAATCCTTTTATGAAATGAAAATGATATCTAAACTATAGCTCTGTGTGAAGTGATTTTTTTTTTTTTTTTTTTTTGAGAAAGCGAACTCTTAGTGATTTGCTCCAGGTGTGGGTAATTGTATGCTAACTTGCCAGCATTAGCACTCCACAGTGTGACAGAAGCTGTTTGGTCCTTTTAAAGCAGGCGTCTTCAAACTACGGCCCACGGGCCACATGCAGCCCGCAGAGGAGTCTGATCCAGCCCGCCAGGTTTTTTGGGCAGTGAGCGCAGCCGAGGTGTTACAGTAGGAATTAGTAGTTCATATAGTCCGGCCCTCCAGCTCTCTGAGGGACCGTGATCTGGCCCCCACTTTAAAAAGTTTGAGGACCCCTGTAAGTATACTAGTAGATAAGCATAAACAGTGGCAGGAAGGGCATTCCTGGTCCGAGAAAGCACCTGTCTAACTGCTAAACCGTTTGCATTCACAGGATGATTTCTGTACCAGAAGGGCCCAGGGGTTTGACCCTCTTCCATCCCCATCTCTCTCTCAGACTGACTGCCCAGCTGAGCCACTGATAAATAGAGCCCTTCCAATTAGCGGTAGAGAGTAAGAAAACAACCTTTTTTCTCTACAGCTCTCCTCTGGGGCAAGTCCAGTTTCTCACGAGGAAATGAGAGTGTTAGAGAATCATGGGGCTCGGGGCATCCAGGGTGACAGGGAATATGAACACAAGGTTGAGAGTCTGAGACCAGGGTTCTCACCCTCACTCTGTTCCATCTTCCTTAGTAGATATGTTAACCAGCCTGTGGAAAAGCCAGGTGACCTCTAAGGTGTTGTGCAGTGCTAGTCTGATGGGCGGTGAGGGGCCTGAAGCCAGGGCTGCCCGTAGCTGTTGGGTTTTATTACTCACATTCAAGTGCCATGCTGTTTGGGAGCATGATGTCCGCCGAAGGGTTATCTTCTTTCTGACAGAGCGGCTCACTGGATGGCATTGCATTGTTTCAAAGAGGGAGCAGGGTTTCTCCCTTGGAAATAGTCAGGATAGGGTTTGGTGCTTGCCTTAGACACAACAGGAACAATGCCTTTTATAGCTGCCGATGAGCTTGTCAAGCAGTCATCCTTTCTGGAGCACAGAGGAGCACAGAGTCACACACCAACCCCCCCAAACCCCCACTCCCCCCCTAGAATATGAGGGTGGAGGGAGAGGTAAGTCATGAAAACTGTTCTATCACTGCTCTTACTGTGACCTTGGGCAGGTGTCCAAAGTGCTCTTAGCCTCAGAATCTCAGCAACCAACTGGGAGACCGTGCATGGATGCTATATTGGTGCATGTCAATCACCACATGCTGTTTATGTAGGTATGCAGGAAGTATTTGTTGTTGTTGTCTGATTACTATTATTTGTCTGAAAGATATTTATTTCCCATGTGTGAAGGATGGAATCGTTCTTATAAATTGTCCCACCTTGTAACCCAAACCATCTTTATTTCTACAATTTTCTCTGCAGTGTAGCTAGTTTCCAAAAACAGATGCTTAGGCAGAGCGGTCAGGCCAATTGAATTGTTCAGTTATTTGTCCCTGAAGCAGCACATGGAATAAGGTCTTTGGTAACAGCCCCTCCCCTTGCTTGTGGCATGATCTGTAGTCTGTTTCACCTCCAAATTTTCATATCAGTCTCCCAATGTACCACAACTGGCTCCTTGAGGAATTAATTCTCAGATCACATAATGAAATTAAGTTACCAAAAAAGGTTTTTGTTTTTTTTAAAAGGCATATATTTCCGGATGAATGTTATGTTGAAGGCTGCCCACGATGGAGAGTTCAGAAATAGGTACTCCCTCCTGCGGCAATTTCACTGGGCAAGGAGGCAAAGCCTTTCTGTCATCCCATCCTCAGGAGAAGTGATGGCCATCTCAGGAGGTCAGAGGGATGCCTAGGGAGTTGGGGTGAACCCAGTTGTGACCATGTCTGTCCCCGTCTAATAGCCTTGACCGACTCCCCACTACTTAGAGTACTGGTTGGGTGTAGGAGGACCCCCACCCTCTGCACTACCCCCACTCGCCATAACCTTCTGGTCATATGGAACTATGGGGAGGTCTCCAAAATCAGATCAGTTCCCTTTGTCTGTGGGCCTTTCCTCCTCTCAGCTCCCCTCCCATGGCTGGCTCCTCCTCCTCCTTTGACACTAAGCCCACGTGTCATGTCCTGCTAGTGTTTCTCAAGCCTGCACATTGGAATGGGCAGAGCTATGAAAAGTCCTGACTCTGACCAACTGTACCAGAATCCTTGAAGTGTAGTCCCAAACACCAGTGTTTTATCAGCATGTGTGATTTTTTTAAAGTCATCCCTCCAGTGATTCCCATGTGTAGCCAGAATGTCAGCTACCACCCTTGACTGTGGCCCCCTCATTCTTCTTGGTGAATCTAGCAGCCAACACAGTGCCCAACCCAGGTACATCTTCAATAAATGCTTGTTGCACAAGGGAGGGAGGGAGTCAGCCTGGGAAGCCGTGTCTTTCCATAGTGATGATACAGCTTTAAGACAGTCCCCTTTGCTCCTAGTGATGGTGCCTTGGGGACTGAATCCTTTGACCTCTGATCGATCTCTCTCTCTCTCTCTCCTTTGCTCATTTCTTAGGCTTATCCAATTTATCTTCTATGATTCTTAAAAATTGAAGTGTTAAAACCATGTTTAGTGCTTAAGAGCATGTGCGTTTGGTTTTGGGCATTTAATCCCTGTCCCTGCTTCCTAACCTGTAAAACCACGTGCTATGTTCTGATACTCTTAGGGACCCACTCACCACCCTTCAGCACTCTGCTTAGTGCCCTGGAAACCTTACCTTCCAGAATGGGTCATCTTCTGGCTTGCAGTTGGATTTGGCCAGTGAGAGGCACTGGTGGGATGTGGGAGGGTGGAGAGAAAGATGTCTTGCTACTTATTCCCTTCCCTTCAGGAAGCTGTGTTATTCTAGGCCTCAGCTCCTCTAGAGTCATCCTCTCTTATGGTATTAGTTCTTGCTGGATTCTGGTACCTCCCTTTCTGACTGAGGGGTGGGAACAGGCCAGGGTACTTCTTCATCACTTGTTTTTTCCCTTAACCCTGCCCTCCCCTCTCACACTTTTGTCAGCAGTCCCTTCATCGCTTTCTTCCATCACTCCTCTTGGACGCACTATCCATTTTCTGATAGGGACCTGACTGGTACAATGGGGAGAATAGCAGCACCAGCTTTCGGTTGTGAGGAGTAAAACATTTTAGGGGGAAGGTGCAAATGAAATAACCATCCTTAAATATTTACTATGTTTTCATGTCCCTAGGCCAGTGGTCGGCATACTCATTAGGCGACAGAGCCAAATATCATCAATAGTACAACGATTGAAATTTCTTTTGAGAGCCAAGTTTTTTAAACTTGAACTTCTTTTAATGCCACTTCTTCAAAATAGACTTGCCCGGGCTGTGGTATTTTGTGGAAGAGCCACACAAGAGGCCAAAGAGCCACATGTAGCTCACGAGCCAGTTTGCCGACCACGGCCCCAGGCAAGTGCTCTGGCACCTTTGGGCAAGGGCAAAACCTTCTGAAAGATTTAATTTTTAACATATGTTTAAAAAATGTTGCCATTCATCTCCTCTTCCCCACCCAGTACTGGAAGGTTCCGCCAAGACCCAAGAGTTATGAAAAATCTGTTCCAAGTCAAATATATCCTGCATCCAAAGTTTCTTCCCTCCCATTCCTGGGGATAAATAAGGAGAAAGGCCCTAGACTTAACATTCACCTTGGTGCCGGGCACTTTACATGTGTAAACAGTCTGCTCAGCCTCCCAGCCTGGAGTTTAAATTATGTCCCCAAAATATAATGATTTCTGAGCATGTGCCTGCCCACATTGCTAAGAAAGCAAGTCTTTCTTTCCGGCTCTTCTCCAATTTTATGTCCAAGAATTCTCAGGGGGTGCTCCTTTGCATCCACGGAGT